GCTCCCTCAATGACAAATGGTCCGTCTAGCTGGGAAGCCCGCAAACAGGGTGGTGGTTTGCCTTTGGTGTCGCTTAAGCACCCCAAAAGGGCCCAACGACACACAACATCATGGCGTTCCCAGCGCGCCCCGACATGCTGAGGGCCCCGCCACTGAGCAGCAAGCACTTTGGGCGTGGTGTTGGCCATGAGCATGAAGGCGCACAAAGGCACGTTCATAGGAACGAAGGCTGACCTCAAATAGGCAGGAGAGAGGGCGCGCGCGCGCAAAGCGGTCGGCGTTCGCGCAACCTACATTGTTGCAGTGTCACGCTGTTCTGCTGCCAGTCATTCGGCCAGAAATCACACGCTCGTCACGCTGTTAAGCAGAATCCCCCCGCTGCGCTGCCTGTACCGTTTACGCTGCCTGAGCTTCTTGTGCTGCCTGCACTGCTTGCTGCTTGCGCTGCCTGCGCAGGTCAAGCATAGGGGCCCTCGAATTTTCCGTCCGGCACACTACCAGGAACTCTCCCCTTGCACTATTCGCCAATTGCGTATGCAGCAGGCTTGGAGGCCTTCCCATGCTAGAATGAATGTGCACGCGGCTTTTGTTTCCACCGTTTTCATCACTTGATCTACTCTTACACGCTCTATCCCTCTCTCTGTCTCCCTCTCCCTCCCTCTCTCCTCCCCTCCCTCCCTCCCCTCCCCGTCTTTATGTTTCCCACTGCTTTCATAAATGATCTGCTCAATCTGCCCACCACTTTTTCTGAATCTCTCTCTCTCTCCCTTTCTCTCTCTCATAAACCGGCCACGTGTTCAACTCACTGTGCAACAATATGTTCCTCGGCGAGGCGCATGCGGCCAACCTTCAAAAGCTCATCTCCTGTAACTGGGTGGATGCTCACCTCAGAGCATGGGCTGCGTGGCTGATTGCATGGTGACATCATCAAATACTTGTACATGAAGGTGTTCCTCAGCGCCTAGCTGCCCAAGCCAAACACGATGCACTGAAAATGCCAACATGTTCTTGCAAAAAGAGGGAAACACATCGAAACATTGAAACCGTCTAGCAGGTCTTGCCATAGTGACAGCCACCATCCATCACTCGCATCAGTCTTCACATGTCTCCTTTTAAGACTGGCCATGTCCATTGCGGCTTGTCGTCTGGGCTCTTCCAGCTTCCAGCATCATTTCCAAGAGCTGGCACCGTGTGTAGCAAGATCGGGAGTTACTACGTTGGTGCACATAATCTAGTTTCCCAATGGCAATAAGAATAACAGTTGTTCAATGTTCCTTTCCGGTAGAGGGAGCCAACATACATTGGCCAAATGCCTCACTAGGCAAACATGTCAAACAAATGTGGGCACACTTGTGGCAGGACTCCCTCTCTCGTTTATTTTACCGGAAACTGCCCAGGACCTGAGCTCTGCAGTTTCTAAGGGCAGAACATCTGCAATTTTAGCTGTCCACCTGAACCCAAGTACGGGTAAAGGATCGACTTACATGAGCTCATCTTTCCCCGGGGTGAGATCGCAGGCAGAGGTCCTGTCAGCCCAGCGGCTTCGATGTTCTTCCGGTGGGCCCACATTTCAGCATCAGTCACACCTGACCATGCCCCAGCCCAACCCACGCTGCTTGTAAGCTGCGGCAAGGCCTAGAAAGCTCGTGGCCCTTGAGCATTTGCGCTGTCAAAGGTGGCAAGTCTCTCCCAATATTTTTGTGGATGGAATTGATCACACTACAAGCAAAACGAAAACATGCTCAGTCCCGGCGTTTCTGCCTTGCACCTGTTAGGAAGCGCTGCTGTGGTTTGCAAATGCATGAAGCACGGTTCAAGCCACAAACAATTCTTGCTCCGACACATGCTTTCCACCAAGTGGAGAGAGCATGTGCAGCTTTCAACAGGCGCATGTCAACATTGACCTTAGTGTCATTCTTAGGGCAAATGAGCACTCTGTTCACGACATCCGGGGCGGGGCCTTCCGGCTTTTTGCCGCTGCTCTTGAACTGCTCAAGCATGTCCTGCCCGACCCAACGAGACAAAAGCCAACACGCTTGGTTTCATCGCGTGAGTTAAACTCATGTTGAACGCGTGGTATGCATTGCATCATCAAGGACTTGCAGGGTTCTGATATGTTCCCTTCCAAATCAAGAGAAAATGCCAAAACACTTGTCCAAAAGGTAACTGTCTTGGGCTTCCTAGCCCTCCTTGATATGAGGTGTTCAATTTCCCAAATCTAACTCTATATATTGCTGTAGGCCAGGCCATTGCCAATTATCGTGATCATTGGTCCATGGGAATAGGGCATATATCGTGCTACAGGGATCTGGTCAGTCCATATGTTCACACAATTTTACCTAGCTCTGCGGCTCCGTGACCATTTGAGACCCAGCTCCGAAAAGAAAGCTGTGGATTTGGTCAAACCGCTCAAGCGAGCCGATTCCAGCACCTTGGACTTCTTCAGGTCGTCGCTCGTGAGCAACAAGGTGCGCGGGTCGATGTAGTCGTACATACCCATCCTTCGGCTTGGCGACTTCGCGACAAGAGCCTAAACGCGGCTTCAGGTGCCAGGAGCCAAATAGAGCTAAATGGAGCACAGCTCCTGCAAACAACCGCAAGTCCCATGCACCGCCCTCACAAAGAGGAAACTGCACAGATTGTTCCAGCACCCGGAATCAGAAGCCGAGCTATGAACAAGCAGGATTAGCAGCCTAGTTACTTGATTGGCACCACTTATTCAGCATGCTACACGCACAAGCTAAGCATGCTAAACAAACTGATCCTTGGGTCATTAAAGGCCACCTGCAAGCGGAGTCGTGCATGGCTTGTGAACAACAAATAGAAACAACACAGCCTCAACAAAGCACCACGCAAACAGCCGAGAGTGCAGTCGGTCATGGCTACGTACTTGTTACTTCACATGTAAGCGGAAAACACGCATGCATCATCAATTCTAAGCCTATCGTCGCTGAGTACACGCGGTGCGATACTAGCCTTGCCCTTTGCCGCAAAAGTAAGTGCGTGCATGGCACGGAGTTGAAGGTGCTCTCAGCTTCCCCCAACGCCCAGAGCTGTCAAATCTGAAACCTGCAGTGAGCAGCAACCTGACGCTGAAGCTCTCTCCTACTCCATGTCCCCTTGGCACCCATTCACCGCAGTACTGATCAAGCTGCACCATGCATGCCAAGGCTCAGCCTGCCGTAGAAAGTGGACCTCAGCTCTCTCAGCTGAAGCCATAAAGCGACAGATTCCTCTAGAGAATCCCCTTCTCAAAAAAGCGTAGCGCCCCCCACCCCCCTGCCATGCAAACAATGGCCGTCCTACCCCCTATCCTGCATGTGATCCAAGTGTGGCCTCTTGCCAAGGACAGGGGCCTTGCTTTCACCCTGTGCGCATTTCAATCGCCACTAGCGCAGAGCCAACATGCGCACCGGCAACGGAGTGCCGACAAGAGGCTGGTCGTACTTGGGCGCATCCATGGTGAATGGAGGCACGCCATCCTTAGCGAAAGCGTTCTCACCAGTCACCGATACTCCTGCCAGGAAAATAGCGTGGCTTGCGAGCTGCGTTTTTTGGGGATTCCGCGGCACATTTGTTTTCATTGTTTGAGACCACCTCCAAGAGTTCAAATCTTCCCAGCATTGCCAAAACATGAACAACATCAACGCACGTGGGTGTTGCCGGGGCAGCCCCTGGAAATTCCCTTTCGCAGAACCTGGACTAGCCTTGCACACTGCTTACGGGCACTCAAGGCTCCAAATTGGTAGTTTGTCAAAGTGACCATGCTGATGCTGGATAAATCGTTGCCAGAGTATGGCATGATATGCATTGATATTTGATGCAACCATTGCTCGCAGGGAGCTGGCGCTGCAGCAAAAGAAGCTAGCAAACAAATGCAAGACTGCTAGGCAGCTCTTCCCCACATGCCACGATCTATGCATTGATTTTCACCCTCGATGATAAATAAGGAGAAAAGCAGAAGGTGTCATGAGGCATGCGGCATCTTTGCCGTGCCTCGCATTTTTGGCAGAACTGTGTTCGAATCAGAGGTGGGGACGTGCGCCGGGCGTCAGCAGCAGCACCGTCAGCTCTGGCAGGGCTGCTGGCGCTGATTGCGAGCCCTGCCACGCCCGCGCAGGTGGCCAGCGGTTTTCTCCAGGCCTCAGTCAAACAAAGGTCATACTCTCCGCCATTGTTGGGAAAGACTAGTCCAGCAAGATGCACGTGCACTTGGAGCATGTTCTGTCGATGGGATTGGCTGGATGGAATCGGGCTTCCACTTAGAAAGGGCCTCACATGTTGTTCCAAGGGCGCAAACACGGAGAAACCTGACAACTCACAGGGCGAGTTGTCTGCACAGGCAAGCATTATGTCAGCACTCGGCGATATGAACTCCAGCTGCGGGGCAATGGCTTTCTCATGCACGCCCGGTATGCTGAAGCATCCTTAGCAAGCACCACAGGGCAGCATGCCAAGTATGCTGGTTGTTTGCGTATCAAGCAGGACGGCCAAAAAAAAAAAGTCATGTGAGATGCAACAAGTCCTCGAGATTGGCTCCGCCTACTAGCTTTGAGCCAGCCAAGACTTCCAGCTCTGGCTTGCCCGAAGCCAAAGTTGTGTGGATCGCTACTAAGTTACTAGCGCCAACCAATTGCTTTGCAAACCAAACTGGTGCTCACTGTGTGAGCGATCCAGCCCACCTCATGCACCCACCAAACAAACCCGGCCCTGGCCCTCTCAAACTACTTGCCAAGCAAACTTCCTCAGGGCTCGCCCCTCAGAAAAACATGGCTTCAAGTTTGTGGCTGTTGGCCTCAAACAGGTCTCCAAATTCGACTGCCTCAAACAAGCAACGTACCATTTTTGAGCATGTTTTTTCGTAGGCAAATACGGGCTTATTGGGAGGGGGGGGGGGGGCGGGGGAACCTGGTTTTCATACCCTCTGCGCATTTTTGCACACCAGCTGGTTTGGCACCCAAAAGCAACAAACCCACACACACACACACACGCCGGCAACAAATCCGGGGTTTGCTGGGGCTGTTCAGCCAGTTTTGTTTGGTCCGAGGATGCAATGGTCCAGTAGAAGGTGATGCAAAAAATAAAAGAGGCTAGGCAGCTAATGCGCAACAAGTTTGTAGTTGATGTTTGAGCAACATCATTTAGGCCTCAATAAGCCCTTAATAAGGCCTTGTGTGTGACTTTCATTAAAAAAAAAAAAAAAACAATATTAGTGTCTTGTAGAGGGCTTAATAAAGGCTTATTAAGGGCTTATGGAAAAAATAAGTTTCTGGTGCCACCTTGTATATTTGGGGGGGGGGGGGGACATCGGGGGATACATGACAACAGGGGCTGCTTCAGGCAACTGCCAAAGCTCGGGCGCCACGGAAACCCGGCTGTCTCGCAGCTCGTGCCACGACCTGGAATCCCAGCCTCAGCAGGAGGCTGCGAGAACCTGACTGGGGTACACCTAGGGCACTCAGGGAGCATTGTTTTGTCTTGCCTGGACGGTGCAGGGGACCTGGAAGCGACTCCTGGCTTGCCCAAACGCAAATGCCAGCGACAAGTAAGCCGTTGAGCAGCTAGTCAATGCAGAGATGAGAAAGGATATTGATAGAAAACAAGCACCTACAAATGCCTACAAGTACAGCGGAATTGCAGTAAGTTGCCGAGCTGCATCGTGGAATCCGCACCTAAGCTGTGCCGTCCTTTCTTGAGCCAATGCTGCCGTGGTACTTGATCCTGTCTCAGCAGGCACCTCTAACTCTAACGGCCTTGCCCCAAAACATGACATGCTTCTGACTCCGCACTGCAGCACGCGAGTAAACACACACACACACCATGCAGCAAACCCACACACACACACACACACCATGCAGCTTGACGAGGTCCAAACGCTATGCAACGCGCCTAGCATGGGACCAGAGCCAGCTGCCTGCAGAAGAGGGTGTCAAAACACGGGATTCCCCGCTGCTTCACCCCACCCCTCCCACCCCACCAACAAGCATGGAAGCGCGCAGACTCCTTCTGGAATTCTGACTCGTGGAAAGCGAGACTGCGGACGAAACCAGAGGGTAAGTTTGCTGACCTTGAACTGGCCACGCGCTGGCCTCTGCATCCCTGCGCGCCGCCGCCAGGCCGCTGCCAGCGGGCAGCGTGAAAAGGAGTCCGTCCCTGGGATGAAATCTGTAAAGACCAAATGTGTTGATGCTTCTTCCAACATTTGTCGTGCCGGTACGATTCCTCCAAGGGAAGCCAGACCCCAAAGGTTGTCAACTCTCCTTTTTGAACTAGTAGGAGGGTTGGGGCCATTGAATTTGGGGCCCCCAGCAAGGAGCTACAGTCACATGCATGAAGCGGCTTAGGAAAAGTAAGGCATGAGGCATAGCAAGTTCCCTGACAAAAGTGCACATGTTTTCTACATAAGTGTGGGGTGGTTGGTGGGGCGATGTCGATGTCCTTTCTGGAAAGACTGTTCAGAACTAGCCGTCCCGCCCTCATCATGCTGGGGACATTTGGCCTGCTTACCCACGCCTATTGAAATGATCCAGGGGTTGGCTTTCGTCAAGTGGTCCAGTGCTCGGCTTCTGATTGTGCAAATCTTAACGAGTACCCCAGCTACCGAATGGCTTGACCTTCTAACTGGCTAAGGCGGCTACAGTAGCAGATAAGAATGTCAAGACATATTTGCAAAACTTCTAGATCTCGAGCTCAACTTGCTTAGTCTTATTGGCGTCACCAGGGCCCTCCGATTGTGGACTCTTTTGCGCGGGTTCCCCCCAATGAAAAGAAGACCGCAATTGTGCAGGGTGGGTTTATCAGTCTTTTTGCTTGTGCGGCACTTGTGCATATTATGTTGCTCTGTGATGCTCTGTGTGTATGTTGTGCGTTGCTGTGGTTTGTTATGGTTCATTGTGGCGTTGTGATATATTTGTCCTTTCATACCGATTTGTGTCTTTAGCCCACAGCTCACAGAAGGCCCCTCCATGTTCCAAAGTGAGACTTTCGTATTCAGCGGCGCCTGGGGCTGCCGGGACTCAAGATCGCTGCCAGCACGGGTTCCGCAAACATCCGCACCTTGGAGGAAAGAAGAAATGGCCGCGCCCCGCTTGGACCCCGCAGGACCCCGCGGGAAATAGACGGTGTTGGCTCAATGGTTGAAGCGACGGTCGAAAGACTTTTGCACTGTTCCCGAGGCTTGAAAGCTTGTCTATCTAAGAGGCTCCGAAGAAGGCCACTGGAGCACTCACCGATTCGCCGTGCCTGCCCCAAAGGCAATCCCTCCAACACATAAAAACATAAGTTTCTAGGCTTTGTTGCATTTGCAGCCTGAGGAGCTGTGAGAAATGATGGCCCTTTCCTGATTTATCCTGTCAAATCCCTTGCTGCCGGCGTGCGTCGTCCACATGCCGGCCCAGCCATTCGCCTGCCACAGAGAACCAGTTGCTTACCCAGTCTGAGTATGCTAAGGCATACGTTTGAAGATCATTGGGTTGGAGCGACAGTTCTGGCTTCTAGATG